CTTTTTGGCTCATATCGACATTTTCCTCTCACAATTGAAAAACAAAAAAGCATCTGGTGAAACATTATGTGAAATAGAAGCCACGGCAAAGGCATACGCAAAACAAGTCAGGCAAACCGCAGGAGACAAAACCATGAAAAAATGAAGAAACTTCTCAAAGATAATGGTTTGCTGGCTGTGCTTTTTGATAAGAGGGTTGGTTTTTGCATAATGAGGAAACAAACGTACGAATCAAACGTATGATTTTTTACTACAAAAAAGGCAGCCACTAATGAGCTGATACTGCAAAATTAGAAAGCACATAAAAAAATTACTTGCCATTAAAAAAAGAGACGAGATAAATGATCAATTATTTTCTAAGAAGAGGTCTTTAACATCTGAAACTTATACACTAAAGTTCCCCTGAAGGAAGCAATTAAAAATGCCTTACAGAAGCTGTACAGCCAGAAGTCTCCTCCTGAAATTCAAAGAGCAACCGTGAAAAGGCTTGCGAAAATGGCGGTCAGCAAAGTATTTTACAAGTGTAATGATTCATGGTATGTGCAAGTTGATGGTCCCTCGCTGCAATTCATGCAAAGCTATGGCTGAAAGTAAACGAGTTTGCTCTAAAACAAGAAACAACGGAGATACAGGCAATCAATGACAAAAACGATTCCTGCCATGGGGTTCAAAAATTGGCTGGTCTTAAATTGTTCTAACCAAGTCACCCACAGACCTGAGGCACGATTCCACTTGTGAAATATCCTTCTCCTTGTTTTTAACCGTTAGCAGCTTTCACAATACCAGACTATCTCGGTTATTTATGCGTTTCAATCATCGGATATTTTAGATGATACCAGTGTCTGTACTTCAAGCACCCAACCCAATTTAATCTATATGTTAGTTTCCTGTCGCAACATTGGCGAAAACTGTTTTCGTCATTCATTGGCTGTATTTCCGTTCCGCCAGTATTTCTTATTTAGAGTAAACTCGTTTTATTTCAGCCATAGCTTTGCATGATTTACAGCGAGGGACCGTCAACTTGCACATACAATGAATCATTACCGTTGAAATATACTCTGCTGATCGCCATATTCAAAAGACTTTTCTTTGGTTGCTCTTTAACTTTCAGGAGAGGACTCCTGGCTGTACAGCGTCTGTAAGGCAATTTCAATTGCTTCCTTCGGGGGAACAATAGTGCAGAAGCTTTAGAAGTTATAGACCTCACCCCAGAAAATAATTGATTTGAATATAATTTTAATGCAGGATAGGCGTGTAATCTGCAACTGGTATCAAAAACAAACAGATTCTGGGATTATATCAAACTTTAGAAGCTGCGCCCAAACACAGTATAAGTGTAGTGTTATTCAAGGCACTATTCAAGAGTTTTCAGGAGTACATAAAACTAGGAGCAATTTGATAAGGCTATGGAAACTAAAAGGGCGCAATGGCTGAAAAATCAGTACCCTGAAAATTGGTCCGAAAATGTGGCGGCAGATGACTTGTGCAAATTCATCGAGGGCAATGGCAAGCCACTGGATAGTGAGAGGAGTTCTTCAACTCAATCACCAAAGGATGTGAAGCCCCCAAAGCTGATGGTGCAATATAGAGGTAACCAACGCCAAAGTTTTGCAAGCAGGTTACGAAGTTTAATCAACGTTCAAGGGGTTTTCACCACAAAAAATTTAGAATCTTGTTAACCATCGCTAAAATCAACTTTTTCTAATGACCTCAAGTCAAGAGTGGTTTAGTAACTGTCATGTAGTGGATGCACTTTCTTCTATGTGGGACAAACTTTTCAAAAATTGACCACTGAAATTGAGGAACATAAGAAAGCAGCCTCATCGGTAGGCCTCCATCTTCAGCAAAGCTGTCTTCAGGAAAATAGCGCAGACTTTGGTTGGGAAAATAAAGTTATGTCGAACAACCAAACAAAACTGTTAACACTAGAGGCAATACATATCAGAGAAGAGAAACCGGACATGAACCCGAGCGAGGAGTTTAGGAGCGGGGAATTACCACAAAAGTTTGGTCTCATAAAGTTTTCGGTTTCATAACAAAACGCACATGTCGAAATTAAAATTGTGAATCAGACGTTTTCTGACAATTTAATTTCAAAATTTTAAAATAATATAAGAGGTTACAAATTTTTTATTCTTTATAGTAATTTAGAGGTCAACGGGGATTAGCTAGTTTTTAACATGTTGGTTTAGAACCAAAACTTATGTGAATTATAGTAAAAAAACCTTCCTAAATTGCTGTTTTGTCGTCATTTAGATTATTTTTTTTTGTAAAAATCCTGGCGATGCACATGCTTGCGAAAACTTTTGAAATTTACTTGATAACAAACTTTTTTTACAAGTTACACAATTGTACTAGACAAACTTATTCAAGCAGAAAAAGTCAATGTGAAAGATCTCGAGGGTAATATTAGACCGCTTACTGACATTTTAAGACGAGGTGATAATGATCTGAAGAAAAAAGACTTGTGGGATTAAAACAGAAACAGTCGATCAAAAACCAGCTTCCTTTCAAATTAAGGCTACTACTCATGAGCACGCTGTCATCTGTCCTGCTATCTTTTTAAATATAATTTCAGCAAGTTGGTCAATTTCGTTAGAAAAATAGTTAGCCTGGGCTATAAAACTTGTGATCGTACAAAAATCGATTCATCATCTGATCTTTAATTAAAACAAAATCTTTCACCAGTAAAAATAGTTTTTGAATTGAAGGTATTGAACACCTCGTATTACTAGCTTACGAATAATAAGTTCAACATCAAAAGAAAAACAATAACCTGAACAAAAGAACTAGAAAAATGTATTGTGCCAGTCGGTCATATTTGGAAGTTTGACCTTGAGAAATAAGGACAACGTAATTTTGTTGTGAAACGTAATTTTTCAAAAATTCGAATTGAGCCTGTCATGCTTAATTTTCTAGCGAAAACTGTAAATCTCAGAATTGCAAGATCAGAACAACCGAATTACAATTGCGGGAAAGTAGTGAAAAAAGCAGCGGGGAAATTGCTATTCGCAATTTCCAGATATAAATCAAACACGAGTAGAGCTGTCCTATCCTGAATAGGAAGCAGAGCGATTGCAAACAAAGCAGACACAAATGAACCATTGTGACCCAGAGTGAACCCTCAGTGGAAAGTTGGACAGCTGGGGTATCCCAATCGTCAAGTTCCAAAACTAAATTCTCGAGTCAAAACTCATTTCCCTTGCTGGAATTCATTGATTACAAACTTCTTGAGTTAAAACTTAATTACCTCAATGCTAGAGTTACTGATTAATTTACTCACTCCAATTCTCGAGTGTGCTGGTATGTGAGTACCCAATTTAGTTTTCTTGAGTGTGTTTTGCAACTGTTATGTTGAGATAAGGAGAGTTTTAGGTTGATCCATCTGAATTGGATCAAAGTTTCACTGTCTAATAAAAAGTAACCATACGGACTGTTCCGACCCTGTTTTTAACGGCGTTTGCGTATTTTGGGTATTTTGAGACCTAAGTATGGGGACGTTCTTATTTTCTAGAGTGGGGGGTGTTTTGGTAGTGGCGTTCAAGCTATAACGAGGGTTTTAGTGTCATGTCGCAAGTGACCCGAATTGGCTCCGACCGTTCGAGGTAGAAAAACACAAGAGATAATGTCCTTGACTCTTGAGCCATTGTTTATAGGGCCTATTTTTCTTTAACTTCACATGTGATTTAAGTAGGCGACTGTTACATATTTTGTCGAAAGGTTTAATGAGTAAAAGTGGGTAGAACGAAAACCAAAAAAATTGGATAGAGCCAATTCTTGACAGCGAAGTTGTTGAGTTAATTTACGACTCGAACCAACGGACGTAAAGAGATTCAACAAATTCCGAGATAGATTTGGCTCCCAAGGTTTAAACTTCATCCCATGCAAAAGTTTAAGGTTAAAACTGTCGAACAAACAACTCAGAATTGCGATAGGATTTCGATAAGGCTGAAAAAACTGCGAACGGCATAAATGCGTGTGCGGAAAAGACGTTACCGAAGATGGTTTGCATAGCCTTTCTTTCCTCAAAAGTGTAGGGATGCCCTTATCAAGCATTGTTTATCTTCAACTCACATTCCGTCTGTTTGAGAAAGACGACACCAATTCAGGACCAATCAGAAGCGCCCAGATGTTTTGACTTTCGTTCAATGGGCTGTTGGTAAGCCTCTCGCTTGTGAGATGCAACGGTAGTAGATTCCGTAGACCCGATTAAGATTAGGGCCGGGGCTGTTTGTAACATTGGTACGCCGCCGGTGAAGCGGAAGAGCGCAAAATGACAAGTATAAAGACTTAATAGATAATGGGTATTTTTTCCAACCGGTAGTTTTTGAGATTTAGGACGCGGCCGGCCCCAGTACAGAAAATCTCCCTCGCAATACAGATTGCGAACGCCGCTTGCGTACTCGGAACAATAAATGACAAAACAATATTCGACGAAACGAATTTTTTATTTGCAACACAATTTTATCTGTAGATTATGTTTTCTCATGTCGAGTTGCGTGTTCTTTTATACTTATTGAAGAAACGTGTTACGTATCGAGTATAAGTGTAAGGACATCAACACATATCATCTCCTTTTTATCATTATCACTTCAATATCTAGAAAATTCCAAGGATTTTGACTGGAATACGTGATGAAGGGACTCCTGACTGTAACCTCGGTTACTGTGATATTTTTGACCTTCTAATTACAATATATAGAAAAAAAAACAAAAAATTTTAATGGGTAATGGGTGTTACATTTCAAAATCCTTTACTCTTTGAAAAAGGTTACTTGATGACGAAATCAGTTTCATGAATATCCTTACTTACAGAGAAGCAAGAACATTTCTTAAGATATTTTACTTAAGTTTATTTAAAGAAGAAGTGTCAACAGTGTCAACCTATCGAGAAGTCTTATGGAAAGTTTTCATCTTTTTGGTGAAAGTTCCGTTAGATTGTGATACTCTCAATTCAATAGTTTAATGCTTAAAGATTGTATTTTAAAGTTAGCCTAATTGTTGTGATAAACTTATTAAATAGTTTGAGATGGGTATGTGCTGGTGATCACCTGGCTGGACGTTGCACACTTCCTGACCTGCCCGAAGTGGACCACTGGTCTTCAGGTAGCGTGCCATCGACGATCTGGTCTGGACCCCGCACTGGATTTCTGGTCTCCTGGTGTGGAACCCGTAGCCCGATCTTGACTCTGGCTCTCCCCTTCTGCCTTCGTTATCTCTACATCTGGGTGAGACCCCTCCTACGTTAGGCATGCAATTGTTTGCCTCTTTCTTCTCGACAGTGTTTCTGGTTTTAGCTTTCAACCGTGTGCAGAACGGTCACAGCCCTGTTGGATCTACACACATGCTGCTGCTGGCTCGCGAGAAACCTGATCCACAATCACGACAAGAACTGCGGTCACGCAAGTTTAAACTCAACTCAAAGTTGTCGTTTTATACCATTTCTATGCTCCTTCTTTTATGCGCTGGTGATATTGAAAGTAATCCTGGTCCGTCTGTCGACCCTACTCAGTTGTCCAGATTTGTTAACGCCGCGGAGATCTTAGTCGGGTCGTCTGTTGCCATCTCGGACCTAACCTCCGGTATCTATGATGCTTCTATCCTCAAAGTTGACAACGATCGCTTCTTTGCTCACTTTCGTGGTTGGAATAAAAGCTCTGACTCCTGGGTCAACCTTGATCAAATTTTCCGGCTCCCTGATGGTTATGTTCCGATAGGCCGGAATTCTCGCGGTCCTATTTGCCTTCTCGCGTCTCCTGTCTCCAGTCCTATCTCTGTCGCTTTAACGAGTTCTCCTTCTCGGGATGCTCCTGTTAGCTCTGGCCTCTCTCAAGAGATGTCAAGTATGATGATCTCGGCTGAGCTTGCCGAAAGCGCTGTGCCGGATCTTTCTGACGTCATGTCTTCCAGAGTTGACACTGTCCGGTTCGTTCCGATTTCTCTTCGTAACGAGTGGTCTGAGGTTGTTGGTCACGCCCTTGACAACTGCGCCACCGCTCCGGACAATCTGAAAAACTGGACTCGGTTGCTCATGCTCCCAAAATATATCTTGAAAGCCCCTCGCCGCGGAGGCAAGTCTCACGCTGCTAATAACTGCAGAGCCTTCGCCAAAGAATCAAGTCCTGGAAGGAGGGCAATATTTCGGACCTCTGGTCTAACGCTACCAAAAGACCTAAAGAGCGAACGAAGAAAAACAGCAAATCTTCTCCTGACTTTAATGTCCGCAGAGCCAAAGAGCTAGCAGGCCTCGGTCAGTTCGGCAGAGCAGCTAAAGCCCTGTGTTCCGATGGCCTCGTGTCCAAAAGTGACGAGTCGCTTAAGGACCTTCGCAGTCTTCATCCTTCCGCTGACCCTCCTGTCTTTTCTGGCCGGGATGAATCCCCTCTTGCCTACCAACTCGAATCTGAGTTCGTTCATAAGTCTCTCAAAAGTTTCCCGAGCGGCACTGCTGCCGGTCCTTCGCGCTGGTTTCCTGAGCACTTTGTTCACGCCGTTGAGTGCCCCACTCCTCAGACTGCTGCCAGAACGTTAGAGTCTCTCAACAGGGTTGTTAACATCCTCGCTGCCGGGCAAGCCCCTTCTAGTCTCTCTCCGTGGCTGTGCAGTGCGAATCTCTTTGTCACCGCTAAACACAAGGGTGGTGTCCGGCCTATTGCGGTCGGCGAAGTGCTCCGAAGGCTCACTGCTAAATGCCTTGCTAAAGCCGCCAACGCTGAAGCTCGTGATTTCCTGTGTCCTCACCAGCTTGGAGTTGCTACCAGCGGTGGCTCGGAAGCCATCGTCCACGCGACTAAAATGACAGTCAAAAAGTGCTCGGAACATGGTCACCAAGGCGTCTTAACAATGGATTTTGAGAACGCTTTCAACACGCTAGACCGCACCGAGATCCTCCTTCAAGTTCGCAACCGTCTTCCCGTTCTCTCCGCCTTTGTTGAGTTTACCTACGGTCACCACAGTCGTCTGATGTTCGAGGATGTCATTCTCAACAGCGAGAAAGGAGTTCAACAGGGGGATCCGCTAGGGCCTCTCATTTTTGCGGTCACCCTGCACTCTCTTGTCGAATCTCTCAAGTCGGAAGTCCCCGGTCTCACCCTCAACTGCTGGTACCTTGATGATGGTATTTGTGCCGGCGACGAAGACTCCTTGCTCAAGGCTCTCGAATTCATCACTTCCAACGGCTTGCATCTCGGCCTCAAAGTCAAGCACAGTAAGTGTGAGTTGTGGGCCCCTGTGGAGTTCTCGTGCATCGCCGTTTCTATCCCGAGAGCAGCGTCTAATGGCTTCGAGCTTCTTGGCGCACCCATTGGTGATACTGAGTTCTCAGTTAAAGTCCTGGACAAACGCATCTCGAAAGGCACCAAATGTCTTGAAAAGTTACCTCTTCTTGACGACCTTTCAGCTCTCACTTGGCATCACTCGCACTTGCCTTGCTGCTCCCAAGCTGACGTACTCTCTTCGCACTCAGCCGCCCTCTCAGCCTGTCGCAGCTTTCCTGCAAGTTTTTGATGAACTCCTCCGCGATGCTCTTTCTGTCATAGTTGGCTCACTTGTTCCTGATCTTGCCTGGTCCCAGTCTTCCCTGCCTATCAAAGATGGCGGACTTGGCGTCCGGCAAGCTCGCGACCAACACATCCCTGCCTTCCTATGGTCTTCGTGTCAGTCAGCTCATTTGGTCTCGTTTCTTACCGAATGAGACATCACTGATACGCCGGAGTTCCTGCCTGCCTCTAACGACTTCCGTGAACAGTCTGGAAGCGTTAACACTCCCGGTTTTACTCAAGAAGCTTTCCAAGAGAAACTCGATAAGGCCACCTACAACGCTTTCTTCTCGTCTCTTCCCGATTCCCGCGAGCAAGCTCGTCTTCAGTCGCTCTCTCTGCCTTACGCCGGCGCTTGGCTTACCGCCGTCCCCATCAGGGATATCGATTCGAATCCGAGTATTCGACCCGAATACCGAGTATTCGGCACTTCGAAGCCGAATCCGAATATTAAAATTTTGAAATCCGAATATCGAATCCGAATATTTTTTTTTTGCCGATTACCGAATAATCCAGGGTCCACTGCTAAAAAACCCGAATATTCCGAATATTGGTTTACTGTTTTGTTTCACAATATTTTTCTGTTTTTTTTTAAGATGGCTAATGTAGAAGAGTCTGATGTCGCTGCCGAGTGCGAGTATAGAAAAGAAAAAGGAGTGGCAAAATGGCATGAAAAGTTTCTTGTGGAATATCGAGGTGGTAGAAAAACGGAAGGAAGAAAGTGCATTAAATGCAATGTTTTGATTAAGAGTACTGGGGCGTCAACGACTTCGATGACTAAACACACGCAAGTGTGTGATAGCAAAACGGTCCAAACTGTCATTGCATCGGACCAAACTGTAATTCCTTTCAAGCGGGCTAGAGTTCAAGACGGCTTGAATGAAGTTGTTAAACTTGTATATGAAGACAATATACCAGTGTACAAAGTTGTGCGTTCTCCAACGTTACAATCATTTTTTAAGCAGCTTCACTTTAGTAAAGTCACCTACTGTTCAACTACTTACAAAATCGATTATCACCTGAGAATCATTCACGAAATGTTTTCTTAAATAAGAATAAAAGGTTTTTGAAATAAAACTGTTCATTAGCAAACTTGTTTTAAAATTACGGTCTCTTTTTTAAATAGTGTCACTCGATTTAGCTCGAAAAACTGGGTTATCACTGATTTTTAACAGTTTTTAGCGATCTCAGTCGATTTAGCTCGAAAAACTGGGTTGTGAGTTGTGACTGATTTTTAACATTTACTCACTCCCGCGATTTTTACATTATTACGCAAGTCCCAGCCAATTCTACTTGAAAAATGCTATGTTCAATACTTTTTATAGAATTTGTTGTTTCAAACTTTTATGCTAAGTTTTTTGGGAAAATAACCAAATATCCGAATAGTTGTTCGAGTAGTAACATTTGGCCGAAGCCGAATCCGAATAGTAAGGGCACTATTCGGCCGAAGTCGAATATCGAATAGTTGGGCCGCGGCGAATAACGAATATCAAAAAATCCGAGTATTCGACATCCCTGGTCCCCATTAAAGGTCTTACCCTGCAACTGCTTCCTGCTGAGTTCCAAGCTGCTGTCAGATACCGCCTTGGTCTTCCTGTGTTCGCGTCTGCTCGTAGGTGCCCCGCGTGTCCGTCTGGCACTCTGGACGTCCTCGGGGATCACGCTGTCGCTTGTGGGGGGGAGTGGTGGCCGGATCTCCCGTCACGACAGACTACGGGACATTATTTTCAATGCTACCACGGCTGCCTCTTTAGCCCCCATCAAGGAGCAACGGAACCTCATCCCTGGAGAACGGTCCAAACCCGGCGATATTTTTGTCCCTACTTGGAGCGCTGGTCGCCCAGCTGCTTTCGACGTCACCGTGACATCCCCGCTGCAGTTATCTCTTCTCTCTCGTGCGACGGAGACCCCCGGGGCGTCCCTGGAAGTTGCTGAGGACCGCAAATTTTCGAAACACGAGAAAAACTGTGAGGAACAAGGAATCAGTTTTTTCCCGTTAGCAGTCAAAACGCTCGGGGGTTGGTCCGCTTTAGCTATCAAAACCCTGAAGTCAGTTGCTATCCTCGCTGATGCCAGACGTTCTGGTTCACGTGACGCTCGTGTTGCCCCAGTTCGCCTTCTCCAGAGCCTCTCAGTGTGCCTCATGAGAGGAAACGCCACTATGATTGTCAGTCGGGCCATCTAGTCTTGTGCAGTTTATTACGTTTTTGCCTTCCCAATTCTGGTGCTCCTTTGTTTATAAAATAAAGAGATTGTTTACTGTAGTCATGAGTGTTTGAAAATTAATAGTTTCTAACTTCAAGTGATGTAATATCCTGAACCATAAATCATGTTACTTAGAATTATCTACAATAAGGCAGTCTAATCTGAATTTTAAAGTTTTTGTGCCATATTGATAACTTTTATAATTAGAGTTTGACAGACACTTGTACACTTGAAAATTCTTTCAAATGGAAAATAAAGAGTTTTTTTTTGTCGAATAA